GAGAAATGTAATTGTGTTGTATACCTACAATGTACCAATAAAAGAATTTAATACAAAAAAGATAAAATGAAACTAAATAAATGAGCTGGATGTTAAGTCACTCTCTAAGTCTACCACAGAAATTCCACTATTCTGAAAGGTCAACCTAGAATTATCATTTGTCCTAAAGTAAAACGTCGATAGTCAAAGGCAGTATTCAAATTATTTAGTGCTCATTTAGAACAGACATAAAGCAGGATACATGACCAGCAAGTGCACACTGGCAGAACATGATCCCAAAGGGTCAGGAAGCACTGTTTGAAATGAGAAATGCGAACCCTCTTCTATGTTGCTGCTGTTTTAAATGCCAAATTTCAACAAGCTAGCATACAGGAACGTGGTAAAACACAAACTTATATTCATTATGCCATACCACAAGCAAGACACTGTGCCCTGCTTTCGTTCCACACATCAAGCCAGTTCTCCGCTCAGCCTCGTCTCACCTCCAGGTCACAGCTGTACTCGGTGCCATCCAGAAGGACCACTTTACACTGGACAGTCTTGGTCTTCTTGCTTGCTTTCTGAGAGGCGTTCTCTGCTTTCACCTCACTGGTCTGCACCTCCTTGGTCTCCCTTTTTGCTGCTTCTCCTTCTGATTTGTCTTCCTGTGTTTCCTTAACTTTCTCCTCTTCTCTCTTCTTCCTTACTTCTTCAGCAGGCTGTGAAGGAAAAATGGTGCCAAAGTTAACCAATGTGCAGAAGACAACTCAAAGGAAAATCAGTTATGATCATTATTACCACTGAAAGCTTAAGATCTTAAAAGACTTGAAAATTATGCTAGTAAGAATAACTCCTCTCATCTTGCTTGCTTCTATTGCCAATTTTCTCAATTCGCCAAGTTGGTTATTTCAGCACTAAATGAATAACAGATAGTACATCCCATAACTACAACTTCAGCATTATCCAAATAGAATTTCTGACTAAAATCTCACACTATAGTAAAATCTATGCTTTACTAGGCAACCAAAAATGCACACAATCTACACTTACTGCTTACTGTGGTTTGCTTAAATAAACCAAAGAAACATAAAAAGGCCTCCTTTTTAAAATGAAAGGCGCCAGGAGTGTGAGAGTATCCACTTTACCTTAACAGGAACCCTTAGAAACTTCTTAGTATGTAGTTTATATATATAGTGAATTTTTTTATTATTTTGGAAATATGTTTTTAGAGGAATGACAGGAGAAGCCTAAGGTACACCAATCCAAGGCCTATATTCCTGATACATCAGGCCAAAAAAGTTATGTCAATAAGAAAAGCCAGAAATGACCCCCCACACACAATGACCCTTTTCCTTACATGGCTGCTCTCATTCCCAAACAGTTGCTCTCAAACACACCTGAGTGTCGGCTCTGCTGGCTGCAGGCTTGTCTTCTCTGACATCCACCTTCACCTCCAGGTGTGTCCTCTGGGCTGTTTCTTCAGCATCGCCCTTGGCCTGTCTCTCTTCTTTAGGAAGGGTGTCCTCTCTGTCTAAAACTTGTTCTTTTACAACACCGTGGGGAGGCTCTTTTTTAGCTCCTCCATCTTTGGCCACTATTAAGTTATAGGACTTCTGTTTCTTAAGCCATGGGGGTATGAACCGAGAAAGGCCTCTACTCTCAGATGGATCCTGCTCTCGCTTCTGGCGGCGGGGACTACTTTGGCTTTCAGCTGCAGGAGATGGCTGGGAGCCTTTTTCCTCCTCTTGACTGGATGACTGATTCTGTTGATTTTCTGCCGCCTCTTTAGCTTTCTCCTTGGTTGCATCTGCTCCCAAATGGTCAGAGTCCTTCTTCACTTCAGATGTGGAGCCAACTTCAGTAGTCATGGTGATGGCTCACACTGGAACAAAACAAAACCAAGAGACGCGACTTTACTAACTCTCCTATTTAAGTCTGGTGGCAAGAAAAAGGAAAAAGTATGGCAAGGTGGGAAGAGGAATAGCAGAGATGAAAGGGAGAAAACAAGCTGAGAAAGAAGGTTCATAAGCACTAGAGAAAATGGAGACCACTCTCTAACTTTGAGAATTCTCTATCAGAATTATAGAACCCAAACTAACATCATAACAGCATTACCTGATTCTACACAGCTAGAACTTAGTGACCAAGACTCAAAAAAGGGGTGATTACTTTTATTTCTAGTTATAGATAATATCCCCCAAAATCTAATTTTTTAAAAAAAAATTACGTTGTACTTGGTAGTCTTTATTTGGTAATAAGAAAATGTTGCCAATATTGTTAGAAAGTACACATTAAAATCAAAATCTACAAAAATGATAAGTACAATACAAATAAATTTTAAATGTTGAGTGCTTAATAGCAAGAAAATTGAATTTGAAACAAAAATGTGTTATTTTGCATTCCAATATTGAATCCTATAATTCACCATCACTATTTCAAGGCAAAAATTAACTTTCTGGGAAAAAATCGAAATTCCAAACCATTTTGCCCACCTGAAAACACACTTTCCTTTCTGACTATGATTGTAAGAAAAATGTCCAAAGGCCCAAATTCAAACCAAATAAAGACATTATGGTGAAAAATACATCTCATGATTGATCCTATCACAAGTAATGAAAATTAAATTTAAAATATCTAAATTTACACACAAAAAGAGGGATTTTTCAAGTGTAGCAACACCACTAACAAAAGGAAAACAGGCAGGGCCCCATGGAGACAGTAGGTCACACTCTTTCTCTCCTTTCTTGCTCGTGATGTAAATCTTCAAAGCCCTGGCACCATCTTGGCCTACATGTAATAGCACAGCAATGTTCAAAACTGGTACAAACTGGGTGGGTTTAAAAAAAAAACTAAGGTACATCTGTTTTAAAGCAGACTTGAGATATAATTTGCATACTATAAAACTCACCCTTCTAAGTATAAAAATGTGGTTTTGAGTACTGTATATTCACAAGACTGTGTAACCATCACCATTATTTTTAGAAGATGTTCTTCATTCCTGTAGACTTTAGTAGTCATTCCATTCCTCCCTCTCCCTCAGCCTCTAACAACTAGTACTCTACTTTCAATTTGTATGGATTTAACCTATTTGGAACACTTCAAATAAATGGAATCATGCAATACATGTCACTTTTACCTAGCATCATCTTTTCACAGTTCATTCATATTGTAGCATGTATTAGTGCTATATTTGTTTCTGGAAATACAATTCACATCTGAAAAGCATATACTTTTAAAAAAGAATATATCTGACAACAGTCTAGTATCCAGATTATACAAAAAACTCTTACAGCTTGACAACAAAAAGACATAGGACCCAACTTTAAAAATGGGAAAAGGTTTGGACATTTCTCCAAACACACACATGAATGGCTATTAAACACATGAAAAGATCCTCATCATCAATAAGTCATTAGAAAAATGAAAAACAAAGCCACTGTAAAGCACTACTTCATACTCTCTAAGGTTAGCTGTAGTCAAAAAGACAGTGACAAGTACATGGAAAAATGTGGAAAAATTTGGAATCCACAAACTGCTGGTAATAACATAAAATCCTGGTAATGTGGCCATGGTAGAAAGGTTTGGTAGTTTTCACTAAGTGAAACACAGATTTACCACAGGACCCAGCAATTCCACAAATGAGAATATCTGTCTTTACATCAATGTTCATAACAGCATGATTCATAATAACCAAAAAATGCCTACCAACTGATGAATGGATAAAATGTGGTATGTAAAACAGTAGAATAGTATTCAGTCATAGAAAGGAATGGAGCTCTGACACACGCTCCCACATGGACAAATCTCAAGGTCTGGAGGTTCTAAAAGTTATTTTAAAGGTGAAGAGATATCACCCAAGCACTTTAAGTAAAGGGGTAACGTAATCAAAATTCTCATTTCAGACAGCCAGAATTGAGTATAAAGTATAGGATGAGAGAAAAGACTGAAATAGAAAGACATCTGGGAGATTACTGCAATCAATAATCTGGACATGATTCTATACTACGGACGAAGCAGTGGGGTAAAAGATTGGAAATGAATTTCATGGTAAAAATGTAGAATGAACATGACTTGGGATCTAGGCTGAATATAGAAAGCCAAAGAGATCAAAGAAAGTCCCAGGTTATGGGAGACCAGGGGAATGGTAGAACTATCCATGGAAAGGGGGCACACCAGAAAAAGTGGGTCTGGCTTGATTCTGAAATCACTACAATTGTGAAGTCTGTGGAGAGGTCTAGTAAGTGACAAGACACACAAGTTTTGAGGAGGTTGGAGGTGCACTGAAGAAATCACAGAGAGTTGTGGTCATATGGATGGACAGCTGCCAGCATAGAAAAATGGTGTCAGTTCATCCTAGAGGATACTGAAAAGAACCTCATTACTGCCAACATGCAAGAACAGGCAAAGGAAAAGGAATGAGGGCCACAGGCAATACAGAGAGGACAGGATGATCACGAACAGGAACCAGCTTGATGATTACAATGCTACAAAACAGGGAACAGACACCTATCACACCCACACATCCAATGTTACTTTCCATTCCTAGGCATTTAAATTTCAAAATCACGTCTTCCAACAAGGACACTCTGACTGTGAGAAATAGTCTGGGGACCAATAAACAAATTTGGGGTTCAAAATATTTTATAAGCAATGAAATATAAAAGTGAAATTGTCACTATTATGTTACATTTTATTCATCGGAGTCACCCCTCAGCTTACTGTGGCAGACATCATGCACATTTCTGCTCCTCAAAACATCTACAGGTTATTATCTTCATTTCATAAATAACAAATGGAATATAAGTGACTTGTCCACAGCCACTAAATGGATGACCACACCGATGTGTACACATCTCCTCACACAAACTTCATAATGTAATCCCAACTCCACACATGCATGAATGGTTTAAGTAATCACAGAGTCCCTGGTCTGGTCTTCACAGAAGATTCATGCCAACTGTGAAAATAACTACAGGATAGCAGGAATGTACTCTGATTTACTATAAGTCGCCCTGTTTCTCCTCAAAATAAATTTATGAATGGATTATCACAGAGAAAATCATATTTTAAAGTTATTACATGGCTATATAATTACAACGAAGCTGATGTACAGAAATTGAAAACAAAAGAGATAAAGAGCACAGACAAACCATAAAGTCATCCTCACCAGTTTCCTCTGTGTTCACAACAAGTTTAAATTTTGAGAACCTCAGGGCTGATTGGAGTTCCCCATGCAAATGGAAATTTTAAGACAGAAAGCAATGGAAGTGGCTAATTGGATTATGAATACTCAGCAATAAGCACAGATATAATTATATGTAAATAAGCATATTCTTAAAATAGTTTTGAGAATTCAAAGGGCTCAAAACCAAACACTATCTTCTTTGTTGACAAAATGGTTTCTAGAACAAATTACTACCAAAATATGACTGGAGCACATCCATTTTCCATTATTATTATGCCTACAACTCTCAGCATCTCAGATGTGGATATGCCTTTAAACTGTACCGCCCAAGAAAATGGAAAGTCCTGCAGTAGAAGCAGGCATTTTAACTAAAGTGAAAGCCCCAGGAGGGCTGAGATCTTTCATTTTTTTTACTGCTATGTGCTCAGCATCTGAACTGGCACATAAAAGGTGGCAACAATTACTTACTGAATGAGTATTATTAAATTATCTAGTCTAATATCCTCTTTTTATTTTACAAGCAAAGACACAGAGACTAGGAAGACTAGAAGATTTGCCCAAGATAACAAAGTTAGATAGGCAAAGCCAAAACCAGAACTAAGGTTTCCTAAACTATAGTGATGCTCACTGCACTAATCTTTAATTACAATTACCCCAAATCCATCATTAGTATAGTTATATAACATACTAAGACCGTTCTACTTATCATCAATCAAAAGGAACACTGCTGTGAACAGCTATCCCATTAGAGGAGCATGTGGCTTTAACACAATTACCGTGTTGGCATGCTTCCTCTGGGTTTATAAAAGTGTCTGTATTGTCACAGCTCCATGAGAAAAAGCATGCATCATTTAACATGCAATGAAGCAGAAAACCACCATCAACACAGGATCAGTAATGTTTAGGTAAGAACCTGCATTACTGAAAATCATTCTTTACTTCCTAATATTCAAAAAAGAAGGTACATCCCAAGGTACTGTCTTTATCCCTAGCCTAAACCACTCACCATATAACATTAGACTGCTGCTTAAAACACTGGCTCTTAATTGAAATACTACAGCAAGCAAAGCAAAACAGGCAGATACACAACTCTACATGCTCACAAAGAACTTCAAAAGTAGGGGGTTTGTGCTAATTAGGTCTGGATGTTTCCAGAAAAACTTGTGAGGACCTAGGCTACTCTTGAAGCTCTTTTGATTAACACAATCCTGGGCACACAACGGGGTGGGTGTGACTGCAAGCTGAGTGGCTCCTGTCCTCTGCCAAGATCTCAGGCATGGGATTTCTCCCGGTAGAATCAAGTGCACAATTTTAAGACACAAGATTTACAGAATGGAAAAGTATACATTTCTGCATTTCAAAAACTGTGGTGAAAGGATGAAGGCAGGTTTTTGTTTAAACTTTAAGACAAAGTTGTGCAAAGAATAACCATTAACCCAAAGAATATTGGCAGTAGATGAACAGTCCTAATCGGCCATTCTTCCCAAATATATCCAACATTTACAAGGAGAAGAGACGAGAATGGGAAGAATAGGAAGAAAAACTATCTGGAGAATGAGAAGGAATAACACAAACAGGCAGATGAAAAGACTGCACAGGCTGGAGGAAGACTGACAGTGGAGTATGTGCTCACCATGCATGACCACCAAAAACACTGCCATTAACTAGTCCTTTCCCTTGTGGATTTATTTTTATTA